CTCTCCAGTCCCCTGAGCTGCTGGTGCTTCTCTTTATGCCTGGTACCCGCAGTGACCTGACCATTGTAACTTGGCGTTAAGCTTCAGAATTAGAAATGGTTTGGGGTCTCGTGAATCCCCAGAATTTCAGGACAGACTTTTTAGTTTCTGCAAGGAGGCCAGCTGAGATTCTGACAGGAGCTTCACGGGGCTGGAAGCCAGCTTCCAGCCTGAGTCTCCCAGTCTGAATGTAGGATGTCTTCCTGTTTGCTAAAGTCACTTCAACATTCTGTCACCTCTGGATCACTTTGTTCTTCTGTTCATGCTTATCCCTAAGTATCCTACTACTTTTGATGCTGTTTTAAGCAGAACTGGGTTTGTTTGTGTGTGTATTTTTTTGTTTTTTTCTCCCAGGGCCTTATGGGTATGATCAGCAGCTGTTCTGCCACTGAGCTACACCCTGAGCCCTGGTGTTTAATTTTGCTTTTTTGAAAAGTGAGCATATACAAATAGAACTTAAAGAATGTAGGGGTATGGTCGTGGGCAAAGGGCATGGGGACCCGGAGAAGGAGGCCGGGTATGGCAGGGCTGGGCCTGGCTGATGCTCATGTGGCACTTCCAGCCTTTTAAATCTCCAGACAAGCCTTTAATGGGGGCTTCGTGGATGGAGATGGATTGGGGGAGAGATGAACAGGGGGAGGCCGCCAGGTCACCCTTAGTGGATGGTGGTCACTAGAGTCCTGTGTGGCCAAAACAGCCACTCCGAGGGGCAAGTAGGAAATCCTGAGGCTCATGCAAGGACAGGCAGGTCAGGGTGAGAAAGGATGAAGTGTCCCCAACCCCACCTTCTGGGACACAGAGGCCACCCCAAGGCTCCAGCCAATTCTTGAGGGTCGGGGAAGGCCTGGGGAGGGACTGCCCACCTGCAGTATGTGCAGGATGTACACGTGGCTTTATTCACGTGCCTGAGCATCTGAACACCCTTCCACCCTGCCCGAAGAGATAGGCAGAGAGCTGTGTCCCCCTAGAGGACCCAGCCATTAACAGAGCGTGCCTGGAATTATCCGTGGTCTGATCCTCTGGTTGACCACCAGGGGTCAGCAGGTGCAGCAGATTGGGGCGCCCAGGACAGCCAGCAAGGTGCCAAGCAGCGACTGATCCCTGTGACTGCCTGAGTCCTTCCCTGTAAAGACCGGAGAACAGCTGCTCTCCCTGCCCAATAGTCTCCCGCCCCCTCCTGAGCGACCTCATTAGGCATTCTGCTGGTACCACCAGCTAATTAGTGTCACGTTAATTGAGCATTCAGGAGGCTGCCACCTCCAAGGGCGTAGTGTCACAGTGAAGGGGAATGCAGATAAAAGGGTGGTGCCCAAGGACCCTTTCTGTCCCAGAGAAGACCTCGAAACCCCTTCCCTCCTCATCTCCACATAGAATGACCCAGGGACTTCCTGATCCTTTGGCGGGAGACAGTAACTGGAAGGGAGAAAGGAAGTGATTTCACTGACCCCTGCAGCCACTCTTCCAGTCCCACGGGAAGAGGACAGCCCCATTCCGTACCCAGAAGTCTGAGGTTCCCCTGAAACTCTTGTCCCAGGGGCATATGTAGGGGGCTGGGCCACCTGGGGAGGACCCGGTTCTAAGCTGCTGTCCCCAGCGCCACGCTCCAGAGCAGGTGCCTGCCCTTCCAGAGCGTGGAGCCCATTACACACCTCACAAAACACAGCCTCTCCCCAAACCACCTCCTCTGATCTGGGCCTGGGTCCCAGTCTAGAGTAGGCTGGTGGCTCCCCACTGTACGCTGGAATAAGGATCTCATTGCATGCTTAAGTCTCCCAGAACCTGGGGGCACCCTTTCAGCCCCACGCTGGCAAGAGGCTGTCCGAAGTCTACGCGGTCAAGGTGACGCCCACGACCCAACTCCAGCCGCTTAGCTTCTCGCCACAGTGGTCCCCACATAGGGAAGCCCACCCTCTCTTCCCTGTGTGCTGCCAGCAGGCAGCAGCGCAGTGAAGCCCTCTCTAGTCTCCCTGAGGCAACATTAAACCCCACTCAGAGGGCTGGTTTTAATTGGCTTAATATACTCGTTAATAACCGCGTCTATTTAACGCACCTGTAAAAGGCCCATAACATTAACTTAATGGCAGCGACAGCTCGCCCGGCACTTCCTGCCAGCCTTTTAAATCTCCAGACAAGCCTTTAATGGGGGCTTCGTGGATGGAGATGGATTGGGGGAGAGATGAGCTGGGGGAGGCAGCCAGGTCACCCTTACTCAATGCGGTCCCTGCATGTTTAACCTTTTCTGAGAAACCAGGCTGTCTCCAAAGCGGTCTCAGAGGAAACATGTGACCGTCGATGTGCATTCAGGGCCTGTGACTGGAAGGGAGGCTGCAGAGGGCGGCCTGGGTCAGGTGACCAGTCCCTCCAGTGTCTCCTTGAACACACTTTAGCAGAGGCTTTTACAGAGGAGCCGAGTGGGGATGCCACACAAGAGCTCTAGGCCAAGGACGCCAAGGAAGGCCAGTCCTTTGCCCCTGCTCCTGAGACCCTCCAGGGCTCACACAATGGGAAGCTGGTTTCCTGCAGGCTTGGAGAAGGGCATCGCTGCACTGAGGTCCACAGGGTAGGCCTGGGACTTAAAGGCCTGTCACACATCTCCTTTTGCCAGACAGGCCTACTCAAGGTGAACACATCTGTGGATTAACCTGTTAGTGCCCTGGAGACCCCCCTCAGCTCTGTGCTACCAGTTAGGGATTAAGCCTCCCACATGGACCCTTCTGGGGGTATTTCATATCCCAGTCATAATAGAAGGGGTCTCTCCCTGGGGAGCCTGCCACTTGGGCCACACACCTGGACCACCACAGTGGCCTGGGGCCGGGAAGTTTGTTTCCCCAACACCCAGCTCGGCCCTTCTGCTCCGATCCCGTATGGCTCCCTCTCCTCCTCTGCCTTGCTCAGAGGTTACTTCCTCACTGACCGCTGGGTCCAAGCCAGGAGCCCCTCTGCCCCACCAGTCAGTCCACTGAACCTCACTGTTGATTCCCAGGACTCAGTGCCAAGCAGGCACTGTGTCCCGGACAGGACAGTATGGAGTCTGTCATGTGGCGTTTCTGGGGTGGAGGGAGAGGCCCTTAGGTCTGAACAGGAGGTACCTATCTGTGGCCTCTACACACAGCTGGGTCCAAGTGGAGGTCATAAGGCTCTTCATAAAGTCACCGTGAATGGTAGCAAATGCCTTTGGTCCCAGCAATTGGGAGGCAGAGGCAGGCAGACCTCTGAGGACTTTTGTGAGGTCTGCATAGTTCTAGGAGAGCCACCATAGAGAGACCCTGTGTTTAAAGATAGATAGATGATGGATGGATGGATGGATGGATGGATGGATGGATGGTCACTTCATGAAAGTCACTGGCGCTACTCCCCTTCCCATCCCACACTAGACACCTCCGTACAGTCAAGCCCCTAATCCAGTTCATGTCAGATGAGGGGAATCTGATGCTGCTATTTACGAGAGGCTCGCCCAAGAACACAGAAGTGTCCCCCTCACCCGTCAGCCTGCCGCCATCCTGTTTCCGGGGCCTGTTGCTGCCCACCACCCCCATGCAGGGTACTGGTCCCTTAGCTCTCTGCCTGCATAGTAGGGTCCAGGAAACAGTGGGTATACGACAGACAGAGGAGGTGGACAGGGGCCCTGAATGGATGGGCTAAGTGTCCACCGTGTCCTATGGAGAGTGGAGCGCCAGCAGAACACAAAGCCACTAGAGGTGGCCCCTGAGTCTGGAGGCCAGCTGCAGTCAGTCTACTGTGGTCCCTTTGGTGATGACAGATGCCACCATGAAATTCCCCAAACTAGCTGGGATACAGGGGGAACTGGACGCTGGGCTCCGCCTTATCCTCACCTGGCTGAGGAGCTGCTGTCACAGCTCCCCAGGCTTTCCACGAGGACTTCTCCCTATACCTTCTGGCCCCGTGTTTCCCAAGCAGACTGTGACTAGGTTTTCTCCACAGGAAAGTCTTGGAGTTTGCCAACATGGGCCCAGGAGCCCAATGTTTCAAGCCAGCTCCACTGCAGAACAGGCTGTGTTTGAAGCACTATAGGATAGCCTTTGGTCTTTTAGGGACCAAAGCTTAAGGTAGGGCTCCCATCTCAAAGGTGTAGGTGAGGCCCTTGATTAAAGCATATCTGTGAAGGGCGACCCCAGTAGCCTTCCCATCACCTTGCCCTGAAAGAAGCTCACCAAGCATCAGCCAGGAAACAATGAAACTAACTGCCCAAGCAGCCTCTCAGCAGCTGGATGATGGCCTCCTAACTTTGGTGGCCCCCCAGACCCTTGGTGGGGTGGCCTAGCTCTGACCTTGGCTGGCTGTAACCTCTGACCTCTTCACCTATAAAATGGAGAGCCGTGTGTCATCTTACCAGGTGGCAGGTGACTGTGTGGCCGATGGGACTCAGAGACCCAAGGGCAGCTTGCCTGGGTGTCTCCTCAGGCTCCCACAGCAGGCTCAGCTGCAGCTGAGCTACTCCAACAAGACTCCCGTGGCCATTGTCCACGGCTTCCACACATCTCTGCAGGCGGCCCTCCGGGTCTCTGTGTGACGGGGTGTTGTGGGAGAGCCACATTCCTTCCAGAGGGTCTTACTGATTACACAGTTCAACCAGGGAGGGGCTCAGGCGCTAGGTGGTCAGGGAGGCAGGTCTCCAGGCTGGCTGCCCCGTGTCACGCCCATCCCGACCTCCATCCCCACCTCCCCCGCAGTTGTCTGGCCCTCCATACGCAAGCCACTCAGAAAATGGTGGGTGCAGAGCCTGGCACCCAGTCATGGCCAGCGGAAAGGCTCTGCATCTGGCTGCCCTCTCCCTCGGGAGCCGCCACCCCCGGGATGGTGACTGACCAGACAGGGGCGAGGTGCGCCCTCTTCTGGTAACGAGACCAGAGAACAGGCACTTCCTCCTTGTTCTTAAGGTTTTGAACACCTAATTTATTCCATCCATTAGATAGATTTTGTAGATTTAATCATTTTCACAGTTGGTGGCTCATTGGATACTCAAGATAAACTCCGAATGAAAGCATGCTGCAGAGGACAAATGAGTTTTCACACCACAATGGCAGAGACTTGCTTGGAAAGAGAGTTTAAGGGGAACGAAAATACACACGGATATCATTTTTTTCCCCTCCCGGCAGCTGCTTTTGCTGAGTCTGGTAGGTTTCCACAGCTAATTTCACCAGTTTTGTTCATCTGTAAAATTGCATAAAAGTGACATTTTTGTGCTCATTATAGCAACCGCTGATTTATGGCTGGCAAATGAAGAGCTGGTCCCTTTTTTGCGGGACTCTCAGAGTGGTGCTAAGTGCCCATGAAATTGCTTGTATAATGTAGTTTAAATCCAATCGCAGAGAAAGATTCCCCCGTTGGCCAAAGTGACATTTCCATTCTCCACACCAAGTTTATTTTAAGGCCACTTAAGAACAAGGGGTGGCCAGAGCAGAGTGTGGGTGCTCTTACCTGCTGGGCCCACGTTAGACCCAAAGAGGTGAAGGGATGCTACCCCGGTCCATGTGGTCCCTGCGCCTTCTGCCCTGATGCACCCCCCCCCTCCGCACCTCCATCTGTCTCTGCCCAGGACCCTGAGCAAAGCACCTGCTGACCTGTGGGGCTGGAGAGAAGACCCCCAAGCCTGGCTCTGTGCACTTTGCTGCCCTGCCTGCTGGAAGCCACCAATGTACATACCCCAGGTCCTGACAAGCATGTATCTGTGGCTGTTTGGAGCGCCCAGTGCAGTGAGAGGCCGCCCCGATGTGCACAGGCCCTGGTTCTGCTGGCCTGAGCTCTCCTGGCGACCTCCCTAACATAGACAGCCATACACTGGACCGAGGCTGGCCAGGTCAGGGCTCTGGAGGACCAGACGGGAGGCCTCCAACAGAATGGACCTCACGAGTGTCCCTCTCTGGGGAGGCCCTGCTCTGGGCCAGACTTAAACAACAACTGACCTCCCCCAGTACTGCCTTCTATACATGGACCTGCTAACCCCTCCCAGGTACCCTTGCGGGCAGCCTTAGGAAAGTTGCCCTACTTTACGGACGAGAAAAGGGAGGCTAGGTGTGGTGAAGCCCTTTGCCTATGTTCCCCAGGAGTTGTGGAATCCATTCCTCACCCTGCTGGGCCCCTCAGCACAGCCGAGGTCACCCTGCTGACCCGGCACCATTGTTGTCCCCATTCTGCAAGTGGAAAAACTGGAGCTTATGTAAGCAGACAGCTTGCCTGCATAGCCACGGTTCCACCCAAACCCTGCGGGCCCCGGCACAGGACTTCCTGTGTGCCACCCCAACCCCTGTCCAATGTTCCCCTGCCTCAGAGGAAGCTATGGGCTGTGCTGTGCTCTAGAATAGCTTGGGGTGCCACCGTGGCAGAGCCAGTTGTGGCCAGCTATAGTAAGTCCCACAACCTAAAATGTCGCATGGAGTATTAACAGGCCAGCTGCAGCGAGCACCCAGTGTCAGCTTCATCCCATGAAGCCCGGAATGCCAGCTCAGCCAGTCGATGCTGCTGGAAGTGGGGGTGGGGCTTAGGTGCTCAGGTGGAAGGCACTTGTCTCTCACCTCTAAGCTCCGGTTCGATCCCAAGCAATGCATAATGGCACACACCTGTGATCCTAGCATTGGCAGGGAGGGGGCAGATGGAGGAAGGCAGTAGAATCAGAACTTCAAAGTCATCAAGTGTTAGGCCAACTTGGAACACACGTGGGTCCCTGTCTCAGAGACGGAGGGAAAGAAAAGTGACAAGCTTGTCTGTGGCCGAGGGCTGGCCTGGGCCTTGTCAACGTGTGCAGTTTCCTCTGTGAACCTTATGTTTTGGTCCAAAAGCGGAAGTTTGGGAGAAACAGGCCGGTGGGGAATGAGGGGTTGCAGCTGCCAGCCCGTCTCTCACGTGTGCCTCTACCCCTGCAGGTGAGTCAGTGGCCAGCTCTATGCATTCCGCCCGCTACCCGAGCCCAGCCGAGCTGGACGCCTATGCTGAGAAGGTGGCCAACAGCCCACTGTCCATCAAGATCTTCCCCACCAACATCCGAGTGCCGCAGCACAAGCACCTGGGGCGCACGGTCAACGGCTACGACACCAGCGGCCAGCGCTACAGCCCCTACCCTCAGCACAGCACCGGCTACCAGGGCCTGCTGGCCATCGTCAAGGCCGCGGTCTCCTCCAGTGCGGCCACACCCGCCGGGCCCACCAAAAGCGTGCTCAAGAGTGTGGAGGGCAAGCGGACTAAGCTGTCACCTGCCACCGTGCAAGTGGGCATCGCACCCTACCCGGTGCCCAGCACCCTGGGGCCCTTGGTCTACCCGAAGCCACCCGAGGCACCTGCCCCACCGCCCAGCCTGCCTGCAGCAGCCACTGCCACCTCTGTGATCCCTCTGCCGGGTCGGGGCCTGCCCCTGCCACCCTCCAACCTACCCTCTATCCACAGCATCCTCTACCAACTCAACCAGCAGTGCCAGGTCCCTGGCGCTGCACCAAGCGCCTGCCAGGGCGTGGCTGTGCCCCACCCCAGTCCAGCCAAGCATGGCCCGGTGCCTAGCTTTCCGAGCATGGCTTACTCGGCCACTGCCGGTCTGCCAGACTGCCGGAAAGGCACAGAACTGAGCCAGGGAGCCACACCAGCCCTGACACTGGCTGGGGCCGCCAAACCTGCAGGGTATGCGGAAGGCGGCCTGGATTACCTGCTGTGGCCGCAGAAGCCACCCCCGCCCCCGCCCCAGCCACTTCGAGCCTACGGTAGCAGCACTGTAGCCAGCAAGTCCCCTGAGACTTGTGGCGGGCGGGCGTTTGAGCGAGCCAACGGGTCCCCCCACAACTGCGGCGTGGGGCTGCCCGCCAGCTTCACCGTGGGCCAGTACTTCGCTGCCCCCTGGAACAGTGTTCTGGTGACACCAACCAGCGACTGCTACAATCCAGCAGCGGCTGCCGCAGTAGTGACAGAGCTGGGGCCCGGGGCCGCCCGGGAGCTAACCGGGCCTCCTGCAGACACTCTCTCAGGCCTGACCAGCAAGAGCGTGTGCAACACGGCGGTGCTGAGCAGCAGCCTACAGTCGCTGGAGTATCTCATCAACGACATCCGGCCGCCCTGCATCAAGGAACAGATGCTGGGCAAGGGCTACGAGACGGTGGCCGTGCCCCGGCTGCTGGACCACCAGCATGCCCACATCCGCCTACCTGTCTACAGATAAGGTCTGCCCTGCGGGCACATGGACAGATGGACAGGGTGCTGGGGGTCGGCAGGCCACGGCACAGGGCAGGAAGCCAGCGGGGCACCCCACCTGCCCCGTGGCCATGTGTCCACAGGGAGGCCAGGCTGGTTACCTCCTCACTGCTATGGGCAGGCAGGCTGACCTCACACCAGGGCTTCTCCCACACACACTTGTTGCCCCAGGAAGTAGGGAGGGGCCAGGGCTGCCCACAAGGCCCATCCTTCATCTAGGCAGGGAGGGAGGACCTTCTACAAACAGGAAGTTCCTTCTGGGTCTCCAGCAGAGGGGTGCTCTAGTCAGCACTGGGTCTCTACCCACAATCCCCTGGTCTCTCAGACAAGGAGCCAAAGGGGATCTGTAGCAAGTCCCTGGGTCCAAGTGCCCCGCCCCCACCAACTAATCCAGGTGAAGACCACCCTGACTCCATACTCAGAGAGAGGCCTCAGGACTACCAGCCCCTGTTCCTCGTGACCCTCCCCGACCCACCCTTCCTGCTAGGAATCGTGCCCCAGCCCTACCCTGTCCACCCTGGACCGACCTTTTCTCCGTTCCCCCCAACACATCTTACAGGGCTGCCGGGAACAATTGGTGCATTGCACAGGGCACCTTGCCGAGACGCCACTTGCATCTAGACTTGTATAGTTATTGCGATGGTCTGCATTTCAAGGAAGGGGACACCATTTTCCTGTTCGCACAAAGATGTCACAGGGGGCTGACAAGGAGCCTGTAAACTCAGGTTCCACTCACAAGGACGATCTTGCCTTCTTCCTGTGTGGGGTCTCCTGGGGACCAGGGAGAGGGTGATCCGCTGGCTGTAACTGGAATACCCAGTCCAGCCCCTTTTCTGCACTCCCCCCCCCCCCGCCCCCCCGGGCCTGGCCTGCACCGCTGTGGGGGGTCGGTAAGCCCAGGAAGTCCTCAAGGCCTGCAGTCCCCTGGCCTAGGCCCCAGGCGCTCCAGCCGTGGTACTGTACCAAGGCCTGTCTGAGCACTAAGTGCATTTACAAATCTCTGAGAATGTTTTTTTTTTATACTAAAATTGACCATTATATTCTACTGTGAGAAGTGCAGTCTGCACTATATTGTTTTAAAAACGAAGAGAAAGAGAAAAAAAAATGGAAAACGGATGGCGTCTCAGCTGTGGGTTTGCTGTGAAACTTTTCACTCCTGCTGGCTCCCCCCTCAGGGCTACACAGAAGGGCACCCAGGGAGCCTGGCGGGGGTGGGGTGGCATATAGGTCATTCCACACCCAAATCACTACAAGGCTCTTGAAGCTGGATGCTGTCCCATGTCCTACCTGCCACCTCAGGCTGGTGACCAGTGGTCCATCCACAGGAGCAAATTCAGAATCAAACCCGAGCCTGTAGCCAGTGCTGGGTGGCTCTGAAAATCCCCCATGGGAAGTCGTGCCCTAGCCCCTTTCTGCTTGGTGGCAGTGTAGCCGGGAACAGGCTAGCCCAGACCACAGTAGGTCAGACACCTGGCACACGCCCATACCCTGTCAGTCCTGTCCTTGGAGCTCATCATTCACCAGGGACCAGTTGTGTCTTGCTGGAGACAACATCCTTGCAAGGTGAGAAGTCTGCCTGAGGTCATGCTGCTGTGGGCCAAGGGTGCCCCAAGTGGCTAGAGAGATGGCTCAGAGGTTAAGAGCACTAGCAGCCCTTTCAGAGGATCTGGGTTTGAGTCCTGCATCCATACAGCGACTCACAACTACCTGTTATTCTGGCTGTGAAAGTTTGCTCACATCCCATCGGTCAACACACATCACGTGGTCAATCCCAGGTATTGGAGATTGTACTCAGCTCACAGCAGGACGAAGCAAAGTTTAACTGCAAAGGGCTTGGACAAGAAGTGGGGCACACACACCTGTCATACCCGCACTTGGGGAGTGGAGACAGGATTGAGAGATCGAGGCCAGCCTGGGACACGGGGCAGAAATAAAACATACAAATAAAGGGCTGTGGTGCAGCCTAGCACATGTGCCACCTTCCTGGGGTGGGGGAGGTAACTGGTCTCCCTTCCCAGCCCCGCCTTCAGGGAAAAGTAACTCTAGCTAAAAAACTCAGGTTTGACCAATGAGAGAGCTCTCTGCTTCTCCGCTCTCAGAGACTGGCTCAGGGGTGGGCACATAGCCTGAGCTGGCCCAGTTAGAGGCAGCCCGGGGGGGGGGGGGGGGGGGGGGATCAAGTTGCCAGGCTCCTGGGAAGGCCAACCCAGGCAAGGGTATCTGGGGCTAAGTCAAGAGAGTCTGAGCCCCCATGGATTGAGCCACGCCTGAAGCTACCGGTACATGGTCATTTTCAGCCTTATGGGCCAACGTATGAGCCCATACAGATGAGGACTGTAACCCTTCCGGTGTGGAGGCTGAGTTAGCCACAGAGCAGTCACCAACTCATACTCAAGTCGTCTTACCACAGACAACTGAAAAAGTATGTCCACTACTTGTCAGGAGTATTAGAGCTACCAGCTTGGGCCAGCTTGGCCGAGCGAAATGGCTCGGCGTTCAAAGGTATTTGCCACCTAGGCTGATGATCTGAGTTCAATTCCCAGTATCCACATAGCAGAGGGACGGAACCTCTTCCTGCACTTTGTCTTCTGAGGCCACGACACGTGCGCTCTCCATCAACACAAAATAAAGGTAACAAATTTAAAGAGAAGGGCTGAAGAGATGGCTCAGTCATCCTAGGTCCTAGCCTGCTTGTGCTTCAGGTCGGCTCACACTATCAGTCTGTAACTCCATTCCAAGAGATCTGGGCCCTCTTCTGGCCCCTGCAGGCACTGCGTGCTCTTGTTAACAGCCATAACATGCAGGCAAAACATCAAGAAAAATTTTTTAAAAAGAGTGACGGTGCCAATCTTTTAAGGCTAACTGCTCTATTTAAGTGGGGTAACCCATCATGAGAAACACCAGAGACAGTTGTGACGCTGGCAACTGTTAAGGGGTGGGGTGTCCTCATAGGTCTGCCCCGGGGCAAAACATGCTGCACTTTGTTCAAAGCCCAGAAGGTGGGGTCGGGGTGGGGCTCGGCGGCGGAGTACTTGCCCAGCCTGCCTGAGGCCCTGGATTCCAACCCAGCATCTCAAACAACACTAGAGGAGCCAGTGTGGGGCCTCAGGCTGGAAGCAGCAGGTCTCCCGAGCCATCAGGAATTATGATTTATGAATTGTGATTTCACAATACGTCATTGTGACGTCACTGCCCAACTGTGCCATCTTAGGTCTTCGTTGGCTGGGCATTCCAAGTGAAACGCCTAATTCTCAAAGTACGCCAGCTTGCTGAGGCAGCACTGCAGAGGCTAGGAGCTTTGGCCCTATCATTTCCCAAAAGATACTGTCCCACGGATCGCCAGCCTGGGGGAAAGGGGAAAGTCAAAACTCACAGAATGGCCCCAAATCAGGTGGATCACTTTCACGCCATTGTGAAATCCGAATTTTTTTTTCCAAGTTAGGACTTCTCTGCATAGCCCTGGCTGTCCTAGAACTCACTGTATAGACCAGGCAGGCCTTGAACTCAGATATCTGCCTGCCTCTGCCTCCCTAGTGCTGGGATTAAAGGCGTGCACCACTGCCTGACTGAACCATCCTGAGTTGCAGACTGTGCTCAAAGCAAAATGTCCTAAGCTGTGGGACCAGTTGTGGTGTTATGGCCTTAGCCTTAGGTCTGACAGGCACTGACCCCAGGACCCAGTTCATGGAGAAGATCCTCTGCTGCTGGAGGGAGGGGCTGGAGGAACTGGGGTGCTTCAGCTGGGAGAGGAGTGGGTAGTTTGTGGGTGGGGTATGAAACTGAATAATCCAAGTCATTGCTCCCCGCCCCCTTCTTTAGACGTGGCCTCTCGTAGCCCAGGGTCGCCTTGAACTCACTATGTAAACTTGAATTCTTTTTTGATCGATAGTCTTACAGTGCAGACCAGGCTGGCCTTGAACTCACAGAGCTCCATTTCCCGCTGCCTCTGAGGCTTGTGTCGCCATGCCTGGCTAAACAAAATGATCTTTTAATGTCCCCCAAACAAACCCCAGCCTTTCTTGGTGACATTGCTGAAGGTCATCTGGGGAAAGGACCGCATGCGGCTTGCCTGGACTCCCCCATCCGCCCTTCTTACACACTTCCTCCAAGTTGCCCTCCGCTACCTTAGGCCAATTACTGCTTCCTGTTTGCTGATCGGCTGATGCATAAGACGCGTGACAATCATAGTCTGAGAGCATAGGCTAGGCTAAGGGGGTCCATGGCACAGGTAGGAGACACAGGATTAGGCAGCTCCTCCTCTCCCTTGGAGGTGTCTGGATCTGAGCATAGTGTCCCTGCCGGAAGCCAGTGGGAAAGTCTGCACATCGCAGAGGGCCTCGAGTGGTTGAAACAGAAAACCTAGATGAGTGGTAGAGGTGGGCTCTTACAGAATCAGAGTCCTGGAATGAACCACATCAGTGCGCTGACGTGGGATTTCCTGACTTCTGGGGTGATAAATACTAAGGTTTCTGTTGACTGGCTATCCGAACCACACAACCACAGTCCTGAGCATTTGGGGAAGCCCAAGGTCACTACATCTTCATTCCTTCTAGTGGCCAAATTATATTCCACTATATAGGGATACACACTTTATCTACTTATCCCTAAGCCAGGGAAACTGAGGCTTATGCCTCAAGGACTCTGAAAATTCCTGAGGAAGGCTAGAGGCCAGCTCCCTGCTCTGAGGGGCGAGCCTTCTGGAACCTTCTTCCATATGTTCTTTTACTCTTCACTCTCTCAAATCAGAGGCACCCAAGACTGACATGGATCTCCCTGTGTCCCCAGCACCCACCTTCAGGGAATAGCCAGGTGCCATCTTGTCTTACGACCACACAAGGAAAGAGCCCAGAACCTGGGCTGAAGCACACAGGTGTCTCCACCTCAGCCAGAGTCAAGGGAGGATGACCAGTAGGCTATTGTCCTGTCCTGTCCCTCTCCCCCACTATCACTCAGATCCTCACCCGACCCAGCTGTCTGCCCAATGCCCAGCCTAAGGGAAAGACACCTGGCCTGCCATCTGGCCCTTCCAGCTGCTGCCCTGTGGTTCTGGGGAGGTTCAGCCAGGTCACCCTGTCTCCTGGTTACAAGATGGGCTCAGGCCTGGCATGATGCCCAAAGTGACTGCAACAGTTTCTGGGACTCCTGAGAACGCTGTGACCCATCCTCTCTGGGCACTGACGTGGAAGGTGGCAGCAGGGCCACTGGGGACGCTGGGTTATTGGAGAGCTACAGGGGCCCACAGGCAGAGGGAGAGCTGGCTCCTCAGAAGGATGGTGAAGGCCTGGCTTCCTCCCCACAGAGCAGGACACTCACCATCAGTTCTTCCCATCACCATTCTTCTCCTGACCAACAAGGACACAGAGGCTCAGCAAGGCAGTGACCCGTGCCACCCCCCAGCACAAGATGACAGAGGGGAAAAGCCAGTCTGTATCGGGGTCCTGTGCTCTGCCCACTGGAGCTGCCTCAGACCCCAATGCTCCCTGCGGATGCTTCAGGGAGGATGGAAGGCACGTGTCTGAGCCAGGAAGGTCAGACGGGACATCAGCCAGCTACAGACTCCTTTGCAGACAGGCTACAGGTGTGGGGGGGACCTCTTCTTGGGCTAGGAGAGCAGAGTGTCCTGGCAACACCCCCCCATGCTGTTCCCTCACCAGCCTCCACCAGCACCCTTCTCCCTGCCCTGCACCTCACTCCTCCCTCATCTCTGCCTCCCACAGCACTGCTCCATCCTACCTGGAGCGAGACATTTTCATCTCTTTATGTTTTTGCTTTAATCCCAGCTTCGGGGTACGGGGTTGCTTAAGACTGTACCCAGCAGCCGACTACGACTTGCCTCGTGCTACAGCACAAGGGCGTGACTTGGCCAGCGGCAGATAGTTTCTGCAAGTGTCTATCACGCCAGAGCCCTAGAGGAGCTCTGGCGGCGGCTGCCCCTCACGCAGCTGCTGGCTGATGTTTGTTGCTGTTCGCTGCTTGGAGATACCCTGCTGACCGAGATCGAAGCTGTGCCAAGGAACTCGGTGCCCCTAATCAGTAGGAAGCGGTCTGGTGATATCCACACGTCCCTTCCCCATCCAACCTTTTTCTCCTACCTAGCGTTGGGGGGTTGGAAAAGATAAGGGTGATGTAGGGTAGTAGGTAAAAAAAAAAAAAAACCAACCAAGGAGCCAAAAGCCCGGTCACACCCGCCTCTCAAACACCACCTCAGACCCCCCCAAGCCCCTTCACCTCCACCAGGATGCCACCCCCCACACACCGGGATCCCAGCTGCCACCTTCACCATGACCACATCCACCACCAGCCTTTCCCCTGCCTCTGGTGCCACCTCCCTTGGTGTCACTGTGCCCGCCAGTGTCCCCCACTTTTAACCCCACCCCCACCATCTCCACCATGAATAAACAACCATTTATTGAGCACCAATGCCCCCCCCATCTCTACACCGTACAGAAAGACCCACCCTGGCCTGGGCTGCAATGTCTCGAGTGCGCTTCAACCCTGGCCAGGTTCCAGCTGCGGGTGGGGCCCTGCCATGCCATTTTCCTGAGGAGAGCAATAAATAACGCACAAGAGGGACAGGGGCCTGAGCCCTGCGAGTGGAGGGGCCCTGAGCCGGCTTAGGTGACTCCATGGGAGTGAGACAGGTGGCCAGGAGCCCCGTCCCCCGTGTGGAAAGGGGCAGAGCTGAGGGCAGAAGCGTTGGTGGGGGCCAGAGGGTCCCGGGGCCTCCCCGGAGTCTCCATAAGCCCTCACCTCTGGGGTCACAGGTGGGTGTGGGAAGACACGGGACGGATGCTGACGTGCAGGTGGACGGTGGGTGAGGGCAACAAGGCTGGGCTGAGTGCCCCTACCCTGACAGCCCCTACAGGGGGGCATCCTCTGTCCTCCACTTGGGGGCATAGCCCTGCTGGTGGCCATCACAGTTGGGGTTTCCTAGGTTATCCAGGGGCACCACCACCTCGTCTGGGCTTGAGTTCTTGTTCAGCTCCACCACGCGGGGCACCACGGAGGACCAGCGATCTGGACGGTGAATACAGAGGGGGAAGGGTGGATTTGAACAACCTGTTCATCAGCTACCACTGCGTACCAGGTGCTCCGGAGTGATTTACTGAGCGAGGAAGTAGGAGGGCATTATCACGAG